AAAAAAAAAATGCTCAACAAAGATTTCCAAGTATACGCCGTTAAGCAAAATTATGTGGTAATGCATCTGTCGGCCAATTGACATTGTTCAACCTAATACATATTTAAGAAAAATATTTTATCGTCATACCAATGAAAGTATTTATAAACTGTAAATAATTCTACCTTGATGCTGATAAATTCCGGTTTGATATAAAATTACATAAAGTATAAATTCAGAAAATAATTGGATATTTTAAATGTATTAAATTAAAACCAATTAGCTTCTCCAGTACCTACTGATAATGTGATTTTTTCGATATCGTTATTTATTGATTATAATATATATGTATATACTCGTATATTATATTGTACGTAGAGTACATAGATTTATTGAGCATATTTTTATTTTTATATTTTTTTAATAATAGGTAAGTAATAGTAATTAGACTTATGACATTATTTTCTATACATATTTGTCTCGGTTACCAGGTCAGTGTGCGAGAATTGTATGCCGGTTTCTTTTGCATTACATTTGAAATACCGTCAAAGATCTTTATTCGGACTTGAMACTCGAATTCGATTTTTAMCATGACTACACCACAGTCCACSACTGTCTTGGGTTAAAAAATGGTGAGACTCTGTGAAGCAATATATTTRCCACTGGTAGTAACCACTATATCGTATTATTATTATGTCCCTTATGGTGGGCGTCGTATTGAGGGGAACACCGATTACGGGTGGCAAACAATGTTTGAAATATAATCGATCACGATTATCACGCCTATAACGTGTATATACTATATAGAACATTTCGATGTGGTCTGTGGCTGGAATTTCGTACCATCAATGTCAACAATATCGTGTTTGGAACTTTTGGAAGAAGATAACGTATATATATATATATATATATTAATCGGCAAACGTATTTACCTTATTTAACACTGACACTTTTTAAAAGTTTATTCAAAATGTCTAAAGAACTTTCTTTTTTTGTTCATTGTGGAGTTTTCGATCGATTCTCTAGAGGGTTGAAGACTTGATAAATACATCACAGTTTGAGTTGGTACTCACCTACAGGTAGTAGTTTATTATAATATAATCTTAACGTTATTAAAATATTTAAATACCTATCAATAAAATACTTGACAGACGTGTTTGAAAGAAATTTTCACGCCATCTCGAGTGTGATCTCGAACAACTTTTTTAATTTGCTCGTTTAGCGAAGTGGGCTAAGTGTGCTTTTTGATTTCCAAGGAGTGACAGAGATTAGCCAAATTTACTACTGTCAAATAAGTTTGAAGTTATAAACATCTCCAAGGCTGCTCTAMAGATACCCKATTAAAATATATCTCTTTGTTTTCGATGATGAACAATGAGTTGAAGCATTTATGAAAATTTATGAAGTTCACACCAATCGTTCGGTTTTATTATAATATTATGTGGTACGAACTTATGTACATTATTAACTACTTTATATGCATTTAGGTCATTTTAACTAGGACAAGGTTTTATTAAATATAGGTATGTATTTAATTACACAAAACACAAATYCTGTAAAGAATTAAATTGTTTTATAAATAATTCGATCGCTATTAACACAGTTAAGTTTTTTATCATTAGTTTTGAAAATTTCAACCGGAAATACTTCAATAAATCAAATCTTGTCAAAATGTACAGTTTTTACTTTAAAAATTATGGATTCTCCTTATTATTAAACAAATTTACAAACAACCAATATTTAAAAATTCTATTGAGATAATAGATATAATATGTATAATTTTGGCTTTTAATCGATATTACTGATCATGTCAGCTTAGAAATAGTTTATTTGTAATATAAAACATCAATATAATTTTTTTAATTATTAACAAAAATTTACCCCYGGTGACAGAGCCATTGGGATAGAAAGATTTTTGTTTCCATCGAGTACTTATTTGTAAAGTTATTAAGGCTATGGACTAGTTTACATATTTGTAAAGTTTTTATATATTTTTTTTTTTGAACTTCTCTGACTTTGAAATGAAATTGAAGGTGACTGCAAGTGAGGATCTGACGTTACCTCAATATAATTATAAACTAGATGTATGTAGAGAAACGTGTAGTAATGCATAATAAAATTTTATTTTTTATTTTTTTTTTTATTTAATCTTGGATGGTCAATGGTATTGCGAAGACCAAATTAAACATTACATTTTGCTAATATAAGACAACAATTAAAATAATTTTTTTATAAGTCAATGAGTGCAAATATCCAATCATATTATGCAAATGATACTCATTTTTTCACAATTATTCCATATATTTGTATTCTTACTCTGCTACTTGATAATAATTTTGGTATCTTAACCAACTGAATATTCTAAATTTCTAACTCATAAATAGTAAAAACGAATATGTTTGAATGAAACCATCAGTGCCAAATAAACAAGGTAAATTKGCTTTGTGTGATATTTGAAACACGTGCCATATTATAGACAACTGTCTTATAAAATATACAAAATTGAAAATCATTATTTATTACTACAATTACATAATACAGCAACTAGTTCAACATTCCACCAACAACAGGAATAAACTCAAATATTCAGTTTATTATAACCATACTCTAATGGACATTAAATAACTCAATACGAATATATTATAATTTTAGATTTGTAGACAAAACATATTTTCTTATTGATAAAATAAAAATAATAAAACTATTTCAAAAGTGCTCAAACTCCTATATTYGAAAATTAATTAAATAAAGAATATAGGTTAATTCACAGATAACTTACATCATAATTAGGGCTTTCCAATTATGTCTAACACGATGCAAAATTATTCATATCGAAATGTRTAGACAATTTAAACGTTACAAGTTGGTAATTGAATTATGCATATTAGATATTTCTTAATGTTATATAACTTTTAAAACAGTTTTATATTAATGTATGGATATAATTGACAATTTTTTATTTGATAAGAAAATTGTATGCATTAATCATAATATTACGCACGCATGTAAATGGAAAACCCGTTCACTAAAAATTTGGTATTATATGTTTRCTAAAAAAAATATTTTGATTGATATTAATTTACACTTGAAATTATTATAATATCATATGAGTACTATTTTACAAGTTAAATGCACTCATTTTACTGSAGCTTATATGATTGGTTATTCATAGTGTTTCTCATTATACTGTCCGAGTCCTGATATTAAATATTATAGTACTATGTACATAATATAKAAAACTAAAATATTCGACAGTATRTGATATCGTTATTATAGGTAAGAACAACAGCACTCACCTCTTCGTCGTGGTCGAATGCGTTGAACACATCGTACGGCAGGCAGGACAGCAGATCGATGACGAACCACGACCGGAGGTAGTTCATCCTGATAACCTTCGGGTCAGACACGACCTCGCCGCCGGGCCCGACGAACGTAGTGTGGAAGTTGAGCACGATGTCGATGAAGAATATCACGTCGACGATGGAGTCGACCACCAGCAGGGACACGTCCTCGCTGGTCTTGTTCTTGAAYGCCACGTTGTACGGCACCATGATGGCCGTGTAAAAGGTCAGGCACAGTATGACCCAGTCCCAAATGGCCTTGAACGCGCAGTAGTGCAGCAGGATGTGTGGCGGCGTCTTCGGCGCCTCTTGCCTGTACTGGGGCATTACGTCCGCGTTCAGGCTCATCATCTGCACAAGACCAAAGTATACACACACGCACGCACAGACACACCGTCGGCTCCGTTAAGGGCCGCGTGTGTCCGGGAGGAGATGACCACCGATTTTATTTTTACCTACCGTCCTTCAGCACTAACCACGTATAATGATGTCGATTTACAATAAATTCTTCTTTCCGATAACTGAATCGTTATTAGGAAAATAATCAAATGTCAAGTTTCCGTTATGATATAATTGTATAGGTAATTTATTGACAGTGRTGTTGAAGTTGTATCGTATAAGTTATAGAGGCATTATAACATAGCAATAGATTTTATTATGTTTATGCAATGCAAACTTAAATACTATACTTAGCGTTGCCAGATTTTTATTTTATTTTTATTTTGACATGTTTACACAGAGTTCGGTCAACTGTAGTCTCCCATAAGTTTAACATAGATATAGTATTAGCGAATTTTATCATAAATATCATTGATTCCTGTACGCCTATTCCAATTTGTATTCTCAATACATTTAATAGACTATTAAGATATATTTTTTATTTTCATAAAATTTCATAAAAGATTGGATAACAGCCCCASAATCACAATGCAACCGACACTAGTATTATAGGTAGTAGTGTTATTTGTATAATGTAG